GAGAGGAGGAGAGAGAGAGAGAGAGAGAGAGAGAGAGAGAGAGAGAGAGAGAGTCTAAGTTGTTGAGAGCATCGCCAGGTATCACACCTGTCTGAAGGGAAGTAAGAGCCACCACCGGGAAGGGATTCACACCTGTCTGAAGGGAAGGGACCACACCCGGGAAGGGATCACACCTGTCTGAAGGGAAGGGAACACACCTGTCTGAAGGAAAGGGACCACACCCGTCTGAAGGAAAGGGACCACACCCGTCTGACGGGAAGGGATCACACCTTGAAGAGAAGGGCCCACACCTGTGCTATGGGAGGGGAGCACACCTGTCTGGATGCAAGGGATCACACCTGTCTGAAGGGAAGAGACCTCACCTATCCGCGAACGATGCCGGTGTCCCACTCGAGACGCGTCATCCGGCACCACGCCGTGTCCGGCCAGGACGGGTCGGCCGGCAGGAGGACGGAGACGCCCTGCAGCAGCTCAAGAGCTTGGAGCGGGGCCTGGAGCAGGAGGTGGCGGCCCGCACCAGCCGCGAGGCGGCGCTTAAGGATGAGGTGGAGCGCCGGCTCGCCGACATCAAGACCTACACTGATGACGGCTTCGGTGATGTCAGGAAGATGACCGAGGTGACGTAAAGATTCCTTGGTCATTGCTAGTTCAGGTTTGGTGTTTGCTCGTAATCATACTCTTTTAAACTTCCTATAAAGTTTTTTCTCGGTGCATGTCAGCACACTTTGCCGTCAACTCTTTTTTGCTGTTTCTGTTCCGAATAAGCGCTTATTCGCCCTCAAAGTGCCTTTCTAGATTCTGACAGATCAGTCTACCGATTTTGATAGGCTTCCACGGCCACCAACTTTCTCCGATCTTGCAACAGGTCGACTACAACATCTGACTGGCAATGGGACATGTCAGCTCAGATGTGCCGTGCTTACCCCATGCTGTTGATGTTTCTCACCCGCTGTGTGCTGTTTCGCCAGCTGCGATGACGGGCAGATTACGTGGTTGATGACCAAGACATGTTTGCATGCGACATTGGATAACGGAATGGCACGTTGACTTCCGTAACCGATCGTCCGTGACGTAACCGTGTTGACCGCCGTGACGTGACCGAGGTGGGCGGCTTGCAGGCGGAGCACAGTCAGACCCGCACGAGGTTCAAGGAGCTGACCGACGCGCTGAACCTGTTGGAGTCCTCCCGTGAGCAGGACCAGGCTCAGATGGATCAGCTGCTGGAGAAACAGAAGGACGCTCGGCGCAAACTGGACAGGGTCAGTTCGGCAATGTGGGTCACATTCCGCGTTTTGTGCGGATGGTGATGAACGGCACGCGCTTAACAGGTTAGGTATTCTTAACATGCTAAGAATAACAGTCACACTTACCCAGCTGACACGACCGCGGCACGTCCTTGCCATAGGTCGTCATAGTTTGCTGTCCCATATCTGTTGCCATGCTTTTCCCAGAGATGTCGGCTTATAACCATGACTTGACGTTTTTTTCTGTGGCAAACTGAGAGACATCAGTAGAACTATTCGCTGACCACTCATTCTGTGTCTAACATGTCTTGCCCAGTCTCACAGCCAGCTCCACAGTCTGCGACTCACTTGTCCTGTCTAACCACCAAGTCATCTCTTTAGTCTGAGACTGACTTGTCCTGTCCAACCTCCCAGCCAGCTCTACAGTCTGCGACTCACTTGTCCTGTCTAACCACCAGAGTCATCTCTTAAGTCTGAGACTGACTTGTCCTGTCCAACATCCCAGACAGCTCTACAGTCTGTGACTGACTTGTCCTGTCTAACCACCAAGTCATCTCTTTAGTCTGAGACTGACTTGTCCTGTCCAGCCTCCCAGCCAGCTCTACAGTCTGAGACTGGCTTGTCCTGTCCAGCCTCCCAGCCAGTTCTACAGTCTGCGACTAACTTGTCATGTCTAACCACCAAGTCATCTCTTTAGTCTGAGACTGACTTGTCCTGTCCAGCCTCCCAGCCAGCTCTACAGTCTGAGACTGACTTGTCCTGTCCAACCTCCCAGCCAGCTCTACTGTCTGCGACTGACTTGTCCTGTCTAACCACCAAGTCATCTCTTTAGTCTGAGACTGACTTGTCCTGTCCATCCTCCCAGCCAGCTCTAGTCTGCAACTCACTTGTCCTATCCAGCCTCCCAGTCAGCTCTACAGTCTGCGCCTGACTTGACCTATCCAACCTCCCAGCCAGCTCTACAGTCTGCGACTGACTTGTCCCGGCCAGCCTTCCACTCAGCCGCACCAGCCGCGTGCAGCCCCACCAATCCCGCCGCCCGGCCGCCCGGTTCACCCGCGCCCCGCCGCGTGCCGGGCAGGAGATGGACGACCGCGTGGACGACATCGGCGACAGGCTGCGGATCGCCATGGCGTCGCTGCAGGCGGCGCACGCCGAGCTGCCGGCCGGCCAGGCGCGCCCCGCCGGCCTCAGCATCGAGGAGGTGAGCGGACCCCCGCCCGGCGACCCACTACCTGTTCATTTAGTACCATTACTTAATTATTTGCCATTACCATTACTCAGTTAGTGCTCATTGCAGAACTGGCAGAGGCGGAAGTGTCCCAGAGATATGGGGGTACGAGTGCTATTTTTTGTTTCCTTCCTTATATGCAGCGCCATTAACCTGACGTTAATTCCCTGAGATGTTAGGTATGCAGCTGCAGCCCCACATGAACAGTAAAGCTACGCCCAAAAAATACATGGCTAATAGGAAACTGCACCTCCGCCACGTTGCAGTGGCGTAGGTTCCTATTCAGTAATGGGCTGCAGCTCCCATCTGTGGGAATAAAGTCGGTCAAATTTGAACAGAGCCCCATTTTCGAGCACTTCTATGGCGTGCGTCAAATCTACGACAGCCGAGTTAGGCGCGGGCCGTGCTCGCCATAACGAGCGAAGCCGTGCGACGAGGAGTGAGACTAATTCATGGGAGTTGTTGTGCCGACGGGTGACGGGTCAAGAGTGATCACACTCCAGGGGCAGGTCGGCGAGTGGCTCCGACGCACCAGAGGTCGCTGAAGGGCTCGCGAGCGTCCCACTATGCGTCTGTATGTCGTCCGTGTGTGCGTACACCCCGGTGTATGGCAATTACTGCAAAATAGCTCCCCGAGGAGCTAAAGCGCAGGGGTTGCTGCGATGGGTCTGCCCGAAGGCGCAGCGCCCCAGCCCTTCTTCTGCTCCAGCGCGGCTCACGTGAGTCCGCGGCTCGCCTCAGATCGAACGTCTGCAGAACACCAACAGCGAAGGCGCCCGCGAGCAAATGGCGAAGGCAATGGCCGAGACGGAGCTGAAGCTCACAGCGCTCGCCACCAGGGTGGAGCAGCAGGACGAGGTCATCGAAAACAGACTGAGGACGGTCAGTCAAGGGCTGGGGATGGCCAGCCAGGGGCTGGGGATGGTCAGTCAGGGACTGGGGATGATCAGCCGGAAGCTAGGAATGACCAGTCAGGGGCTGGGGATGATCAGTCAGGGACTGGGGATGGTCGGTCAGGGACTGGAGATGGTCAGTCAGGGACTAGGGACTGCCAGTCGGGGGCTGGGGATGACCAATCATGGACTTAGGGTGGGCAGTTAGGGACGGGGGATGATCAGTCAGGGGCCGAGGATGATCAGTCAGGGGCTGGGGATGACCATTCAGGGACTGGGGATGGTCAGTCAGGCACCAGGGATTGCCAGTCAGGGGTACACTGTCATTAGGGACTGCGGACGGCCAATGGGAAGGGGGCGCTCAGTGAGGGATTGGTGGCGGTCATTCAAAAGAATCGCAAGGTATCGGAGACGCTCGGCCATGAGCTGGTAACAATCGGTCAGAGGGCTGGATTGGGCAAGAAACTCGCTGAGGGCTGCTGTAAGTGAACGTGGACACTACAGAAGCGTACTGACACAATGTGCGTATGATTCCCGAGAAGTTAAAACAGGCTTGAAGAAGAAAGTCGGTATCAAAGTGGGAAGTGTGATGCGGTCCATCTCTCCTGCCGCAGTCCGCGCTCCGGCTTACGTCACAGTGACGCATTTTTGGATCGCTGCACAATCGCACCTGACACCGCATTCCCCATCTGGGATGCGCATTCGCTCTCAGCTCCTTTCCACCCTTTCCTATAGAAGACAACAGAAAGGCTAATGTGCTAATGTGAGACAGCAGCTGCAGCGTCTGACGGCAGCACCGTCCGCAGGTGGAGAGGTCCGATGACGCCGGCTCCTACGTCATGGGCGACCAGATATCGCAGAAGCTGGACTCGGTGACGTTTTCGCAGGAGCGCCTCAAGAGGCAGATCAACATGTTGGACGACAGGGTCAAGGTGAGGAGGACTCCCTCGGGAACAAGAGACAACCACGATTCCCCTTATTTTTAGGCGCAACAAATTTCAACGAATCGCACTTAAATTCTTTGAGCCGTAGTTCTCATGTTACCTTGCAGCTGGCTGCCATGCAGAGGTGAAACCACTTTTCTCCCGTCGCGGGAGAAAAGTGACATCCATGCGTTGCCTTCGTTTGGCGGTACGTTGACTGCTGTGGCTTGCTTGTCTGTCTCCACTCGCGCTCGAGTAAGCCCGCTCTCACCACTAGGGTAAGCCCGCTCCCACCACCAGGGTAAGCCCGCTCCCACCATCAGGGTAAGCCCGCTATCACCATCCGAGTAAGCCCGCTGTCACCACCCAAGTAAGCCCGCTGTCACCAGCCGAGTAAGTCCGCTGTCACTAACCGAGTAAGCTTGCTCTCACCACCCGAGTAGGCCCGCTGTCACCACCTGAGTAAGCCCGCTCTCACCACCCGAGTAGGCCCGCTCTCACCACCCGAGTAGGCCCGCTCTCACCACCCGAGTTAACTCGCTCTCACCACCCGATTAACCCAGCTCTCACCATTCGAGTAACCCAGCTCTCACTACCCGAGCGCCGCTGAGCCTCGAGCCGGCTCCTGTGACCTTCGGACTCATGCGGTTCCTCGCAGGAGACCCCGACGGATATCTCGGAGGTGCGGGAGCAGCTGGCGGCGGACGAGCGGCGCCTGGACGAGCAGATTGAGCGGGAGACCCGAGAGCGGCGCGAGCAGATAGAAGAGTTGCGGAGGAGCCGTGGCCAGGAGGACGGTCCCGACCTGGTGAGAGAGGGAGGGAGGGAGGGAGAGAGGGAGGGAGGGATGGAGGGAGGGAGGGATGACGAAGGGGTGGGGAGGGAGAGAGAGGGAGGGGATAGGAAGGAAGGAAGGGAGGAAGGGGAGCGAGGGAGGGAGGGGACTTGGTGAGGGATGGAAGGGGATGAGCGCATGGTCTTGAACAAGAAGTGATCAACAGTTGCAAAGTGAGGTCATTATCGGCATAACATTCATGGACCTGTGATTACAAACCGTGCTTAACCGCTATATGGGACCCGCCGTAACTACAGACGATTTGAACTGCGCAATGCTTCTACATTAATTTCCCTTCATTTCGCCGATGCGACCAATTCAATTACTAAAACGAAGGCAGCCGAAACGTCAACCGTTTTCTCGTGCTACAGTCGCGTCTGCAGAGAGACGTGGACGACGCCCAGACGTCGGTGACCAAGCTGACGGAGGCCATGCAGGTGGTCAAGCAGGTCATCGGCGGCAAGATCAAGGACGGCAAGAGGGCGGTAAGGCGATGTCATCGGCGACCTCGCACTGTCCGCGACCGTGACCTCAGTTTGGCATCAAAACGATGCACCGAGCGATTGTTTTGACCGAGTCAGAGCCACCGCAGACCATCGCGACCGGCTTACCTACGTTCAGAGTTCGGACACACGCTGAAGTGTGCTCTCAGCTATCTTGGCAACGTGCCCAAACGCCTTTACACTACCCAGTAGGCGGTGAACGCAGCCGAGAGACGTTCGGGAGGTGAGTGGGGTATTTTTTTGAGTGAGTCCTGATTATTCCTCCGCTATATTCGTCCAATCCGCCGCCGGAGCTTTGAGATGAGTTCCTCTCACCCGGCCAGCCAAGATCCTGTTAGCGATCCGGTCTGACTCTCACGATCCTGCCCGACACCAAAGGCGCTATGTCTGCAGAGGAAGACCTTCAGTGTCGTTCAATTCGCCACAAGAGGTCACCCTCCACGGCGCGGTCCGCCACAGCCTGGCATGGGTCGGTCGGTCGGCACCCCCACTGCGATGGGACCGGCTGCAAGCTCGACCCGCACCCACGACCTTTGCCGCTACCGTGCAGGTGGCACCGATATCGTCAGATCGATGATCGATATCTCTGACGGTCCACGGCGCGTGCATCCGGGACCCGCGACCATGGTGCAGCTGGTGTCGGGGCCTAAGCGATGGTGGCCAGCTGGTGTTGGCTATTTCGGAGCTGACGTGCTTCCGTTGCCAAGCTGCGTTTGAGCAGTCATGGCCCGGGTATGCCCGATATGGGCGTACGTATTCCTTGTGGCACGATTGGATTCGATGAATGTTTTTATACTTGCCTCAACAGCTCCTGCGGCACGCCATACCCACTACGTTCTGTAAATTGCGCCGTGCCGCGCAATAATGAGAAGCCCCTTGCTTGGATTTATTGCGGTATGGAGCTGTGGTACACGTCTGCTCTGCTTTCAGCGGGAGCAGGACACCATCGACCTGAAGAGAACCATCGACCGGCTGAACGACCAGACCCGGGACCTGAAGGATAGGATCAAGCATCCAAAAGGTGCGCAGCTCGCGCCGACCGGCCGCCGCCGGTGGCGCCGCGCCGATCGAGGAGATGGGCTGGCGAGGTCCCTGGGCAAGCGGACGAGGTCTTTGGGCAGACGGACGAGGTCCCTGATCAGACGGACAAGGTCCCTAGACAGACGGACGAGGTTCCTGGACAGACAGACCAGGTCCCTGGTCAGACGGACCAGATCCCTGGCCCGACAGACGAGGTCCCTGGTCAGACGGACGCACTGGTAGTGATCGCGAACATGGCGAACGCGTCGAGCGTCCGTAAATGATTCAGTAGACGTGAAAGGCAAGAAAAAGAAGAAAAAAATATTACAGTTGGATGAGATTAAAAAACGTGCCACAGACGGACGCAAAAACAAGTGGCAAGCGCCGTTGCATAGATCCGTGTGCCTGCCAATGTGTCGTTGTACACGTTAATTTTTAAATGTCCGACGCATGCCGCTTGAACCACGATGGTGGATGACTGGACGGATAGTGGCAGGGTGTCGGTAACGGCTACGTTCTCCCGACAGATTACGACCAGGGGTATTAGGCCTATTCGCCACGGCCACCATCAGTCTGGTGACGTTACCGCCACTTGACGTCGTCCTTCGAATCATCAAGGGTTCCAAGAAGGTCCTCACAAGCAAGCAACGTCTGCAGAAGCCGCGAGCAAACATGACGTGATCATGGTTGACATCACACTCGCCAGACTGTGCGAAACTCTAATTGGAAGAACCATATTATCATAGATTGCGTATTGTTATCTTGTTGTGTTTGTGTTAAGCTGCTGCCGAACAACGTTCAGTATAAGCCTGCGCACACTCGCACATTATTGTGTGCTTGATATGCCTTTTTGCGTCTTAATTGACACGGAAGTCATGCTGATTGTAACACAAAACAAATAACGCACTGAGTTCCTCGTGTCCCCGCAAGCCTATCTATGTTGTATGCAGACATTTTATTGGTGTAATTTTTGCTGGATGATGTTGCTTCAGTGGCCAGCGTATGCAAATGTATAAAATATCACCGTCAAAAGCAAATTATAGCTGAGTTGACCTATAAGCAGTGCATTCGTCTGCAGCTCAGAACGTGGTTAAATATACGCACGGCTCAGTTTTTGACCCATGCCAGTTTCTGGCACTCGTGGAAGTCGCATATTTGGTTTGCATTAGCGCGACCAGTTATCACTGGAACCGTTTTATCTTCTTTCTACCTTGCTGTGATCATGTGAGAAGTGGCAAACTCTTCTATGAAATATAAATGCACGTGCTTGCCGGTATCTTTCATGCGCCTCTTTAATTCCAATTCCCAGCAAACGCAATGAGGAAATCTAAATTATGGGAAGACCGCTAAATTATTTGCACGTGGTAATGTTCATGCCAACACATCACCGCAGGTAATTGTGGCAAACGTCGAGAACTACTTGCCTAGGTAAAGCTAGATTGTTCGAAAGATATTCCTGAAAACATGAAGGCTGTCATCAAAGCACACCACGCATCGTGACCTAGACGGTACAAATACCTCCTCTACCCGTGCCCACTGTGCGATCGAGGTGGTAGAGGCTGGGAAAGCCACAGCAGTCAGAGCCGCCAGGAGATATGCACCTGAAAGCCCAACCAATACCCTATTGCCGGCCATGATTAGAGCTTGCCGCGGCCACCAAGATCAGAGGGCGGAACTGGAGACGAGCTTCCTAATATCCCAGCAGCATCGACCGGCCATCCAGAAAGCAATCAGGGCCACCACCATCTCTTGAGCATCGACAGTGCTGTCCGGTGGGGCGGGGAGGGATGACCGCGCCGGGCGACCATCGGTGACCGAGTGACCGTCGGTGACCGTTCGATCGTCACTGGTCGAGTGACATCGGTAGTAGAGTGAGCGCCATCGGTCGAGTGACGTCGGTGACCGAGCAGGCATCGCTGACCGAACGACGTCGGTGACCGCGTGACCACCGGTATCCGAGCGACCGACGGCAACCAAGAGGCAACCACCGACCAAGTGAGGATCGACACCCCAGCAACCACCGGGAGGACAACTGAGCGTACGTCAGCCCCCGACCGGCGCGGCCGCCGCCCGTCCATGGCGGCGCCGGGGCGGTGTCCGTGCCGGCCGCCGCCCGGGCAGGAGCTGGCGCCCGAGTACCGCAAGTGGCGGCGTGTGCATGGCTTGCAGCCGCCGCTCCACGCGCAGCAGCTGGCTGCCTGGGTGCTGCTGCTCATCAGCGTGCTGTACCTGGTCGGCGTGCTGCTGCCGGCGCTCTGTCCGCCGCTGCGGCTGCCGGTCTGCGCGCTCGCCGCGTTCGTGCTGCTCGTTCACGTGGTGACGCATGCTGTTGCTATGCTCCTGGACCCGGCTGACGCAGACCTGCGCGCCCAGTGCCAGCGCGTGCCCGTGCCCGAGTTCGACCGCAACCGGCACGCGCACGTCATCGAGAACGGCCGCTGCCACCTGTGCAACATCAGCATCGCCTCGCAGCGCACCAAGCACTGCTCCGTGTGCAACAAGTGCGTTGACCGCTTCGATCACCACTGCAAGTGGCTCAATCACTGCGTCGGCCGGCGCAATTACGGCTGGTTTCTGGCGTGCGTGGCGAGCGCGGTGGTGCTGTCGTTCTTCCTGCTCGCGCTGGCCGTCGCCGAGATGGCGCTGCTGTACGTGGCACCGGTCCGGCTGGGCGCGTGCGGGGCGTGCCCGAGTCCGAATGCCACGGCGACGGGGGAGGTCGCGTGCCCGCCCGGGCTCACCATGTTCTGGCTGCCGGCCGATCCAGCGGTGTTCATCGGGGCGACGGGCGTGCTGACGCTGCTCTCGCTGCTCTGCGGCGTGCTGCTGCTGCACCTCCTGCTCTTCCACGTGTACATCATGGCGCGCGGCATGACCACGTACGAGTACATTCGCGGACTGGCCGGCGAGCGCGCCAAGCCCGCCCCCACAGACTCGCCGCGCCGCTGCCGTTTTTTAGCCGATGTGCTGCACAAGAACCGCGTCAAGCCGAGCCCGCGCGTGCAGCACAGGGAGGAAAGCGGCTCGAAGGGTGGGGCCGGCGGCTCGAATGGCGGGAGCGGTGGCTCGAGAGCCGCCTCCCGGGCCAGCCGCCTGACCGGCGTCAGCATTCAGACGCTGGCGGCAGTGCTGCCGGTGGTGCCCGCGACCATCCGCGCGGCGGCTCGATCCCCAGCTGTGGCCAGCGGCGAGGGCCGTGAGGGGCCGGCAGCGGCGGCGGCGGCGGCGGCGGCGGCGGCGGCGGCGGCGGCGGGCGAGCGGGAGGGGGCGGACGCCGAACAACGCCATGGACCGGCCGCGTGCGACTCCGAGCGGCTGGCTCCGTCGCCGGGGCTGGAGCAGGTCCTGATAGGAACCGGCTCCCCCGTGCGCGCACGTTCCGTCCTGCTCAGGCACGGCATGGTCAGGAGCGCCCCGCCGGAAATGCAGTCCCAGATCATGGCCGAATCGCGGGCCGAACGGACGCTAACGCCCTCTGGTGAGCCGAGCCCCAACACTAGCAATGCCGGCGGCCGCCGCCTGGCGTCGCCACGGTCGCCGAGGAGTGGCGCGCCGACAGAGACTGGGCGAGAGTCGCAGCTCGACCGCCTGGCAATGGCTATCACATCTCCGCTCTCCGCGTCACTTTTGTCGCGAGATCGTAAGGTCGCTGATTCGGCGCGCAACTCCCCCGCCGCCGGCGTTTGGACTTCGGCAGAGACGGGCGCAGTCACAGTGGGGGACGGGCTGCGACTGCTGCGGGCCGGCCGAGTGCATACGTGACGTCACGACCACGCTGCCGGCCACCGGCCAGGGCAGGCACCATGGACACTATGCGCTAAACGGTGATCCTCTGACACGTCATGTCCGTACGTTGTAGAGACGGAATCGCGCGTTTACAACGTGCGCTATGCTTGTTGTGCTGCGACACACCGCCTCGAAAGTGCATGCCGACGGCGTGGCAGGAGAGCTAGTTGTAACACCTGAGACCTTGCATTGTAATTTTGATATAAGCGCCAACCCGGCACTTGCCAATGCGAATTGGGAAAGCTTGAATAAAAAGTAAATGTGCAAGGTGTAGTAACGAAGTTCATTGATATAGCCGAGGCTGATAGATTTTTAATGATAGCCGAAGCCGGGACCTTCGTATGCGGAGCATACCGAGATCGCAGCTTCGCCCAGCGTAACGAGTGCGTGACCAAGGAGAATGGAGGTTGATGATGACGAAAAAATGTGCAACGAATGGTATGTATGATCCCCATGGCGTCAGACAACACGAAACCCCAAAATACTCTGCCGTAGGTGGTGCCGGGGTAGTAAAAAGCGGAGGCCAAGTGAGGTGGAGATGAGCGCTACCGCCCATAAAGCCGACATTCGCTCTCATTAGCAAGTGTGCGGTACCTCCCCCCCCCCCCCCCATCACTTTCCTCGCACTTCAGTTGCTGAATGTCCTTCAATGGCCAGTTCATGGCTACAACCATATGTGTCTCTCATAAGCTATGCGTCAGGCGCTACCATTCATGCATATTGTTCATCCGCTGTGCATCCCGACTGCAATGAACCCTGCCTGCCGTACGGCCTTAATTTGTATATTTCACTGATTGTACCGGGTATGGTTTCATCATTTTGAGTGCGCGTGTGCGTGCGTGCGCGTGTGTGTGCATGTGACGTGTGTGGGCATTTCGGCGTGACATGGGGAGGAACCAAACGACCAAACCTCCTGACAGCCCCACACCCCGAGCCTGTGGCGCCAATCGACACGACATATTCATCATTCGATACCACTTGGTCATTAACCTATCCCCTCCAGAATATGGTGATCTTGGATCAGGTCAAAAGTCACCAAAACGCCCAAAACCAACAAAGTTGGCTCTAAACAACCCCAAGCTCCACGCTTATGAGACTGGTCAGTATGGAACCCTCACCAATCGATGCGCCGTAGTCGACATCCTGTCCTTCCTAGGACATGGCGACCTTGGGTCAGGTCAAAGGTCACCAAAATGGCCGAAACCACCTGTTAACAGTCTGAAGCCCCCATGCGCCCAGCCTTTGGAACTGATCGGCACAAGATCTTTAGCAATCGGCGCGCCATGGAGCGACACTTTTGGTGGCGTAGGATATTTTTGGTGACCTTTGGCCAGACCAAAGTCAGGTTTTTCCAAACATGTGAAGCTACCGGCCATGGCGTATCAACTGGTGAAGTTTTGATGCTGATCGGTGCAATACGCTCGAAGCATGGCGTTGTTAACGACCCTATTCTTCCGGTTTTTGATACATTTGATGATCTTCGACCTGATTCTAGGCCACCATATTCCGTAAAAAAGGATATCGACTATGGCACATCGATTGGTGAAGGTTTTATGCTGCCCGATCCCACTGACGACACGTACGCGTCTGAAATACGGAATGCAAGCTAAATGGTTGTCGGAAAAGGACACAGTGACCTACGTTACTATCGAACGACTTCAATCCTACTTAAGAAATCATGGCAGAACGATTCATCCCGCGCGCGCATTGAGTACAAGCAAAAATCGTGCGGGGGCCACGCATGATAAGTAACGATACCGCCGGATTAGTGGGCCTTTAGCCAAGTAACCGGTTTTATAGCCCGAACAAGGCGCCCAATTAATCACGCTTTGGACAGCCCATAAGCTTTGCAACCACCGACAGCCAGGCAACGCAAATTTCTTCTGGTGTTTCCTAGTCACTTACACGCAGCAGTCTGCTCGGGTGGCGCATCACTACAAGGTATATGTAACATACACACAACGGTGTGTGATTTCTAGCGGCTGGCCAGAAATACATGTAACGTGTAACGTGGCGGCTGGCCCAGTTACACAGGTCATGCGAGGCAATAACGCACGTGGGTGCCAACACTGGTAACAGCGGCAAATCTCTAGCAGCATTAACATACTGGTCCAAGTCCAGTTCAACGATACTCTTGTGCTCTTTAAAAGCAGAATGTGCGTCACATGCGTTTGGTGCTGGCGGGAGCTGATGGCACCTCCTCTGGCACCGCCCCGGTCGGCTATCATGGCGCCAGCTCCGGCGGCTGACGACCTCGGCTGGAGAGGACGCGTCTGGTACGCGCCGCTCATGTCCCCGCGGTTCACTATCGGCCTCCACCGAGGCGTCAGACGGCCAGCGACTATCGCTCTCCTTCCGGCGCCGGACCCGGTCCCCGACGAGCGCGTGCCACCGGCGGCCCCGCACTGAGCGACCCGGCCGGAGACGCCGCAGCACGACCCGGCCGGGGACGCCGGGAGCGCGGCCGCGGCAGAGCCGACGGTGGGGCGCCGGCCGCCCGGTCGAGCCACAGCCCTGCCGTGCCACCGGCCGGCCATGGCACGCCCGCAGATCCCCACCGCCTGGCGGCCTCCAGGTCACGGAAACGAACGCGATGCTAGCGACGGAGCGTTTCACTGCGTGAGGAACGGTTGCCAGGCTTGTAAAGCACTGGCACATGATTCATCATACCCACGTTATAGCAGTAGGACTTAGCGTTCCGAAGGATATTATCAGACGACAGACGACCACCAGATAGCATTGGTTGTTGCCTTGGTACCCTGTATATTTGTGCGTCTAGTGTTAGAGCACATAAAGTCGCTCCAGTATTGAACAGCAGCGATCTAACGTGATCCTGATTGATGCTACTACCTCTACCCAAGCAATGTCGGCATCAATCACGCACTTTGAGCATAAGTCAACTAGCGGTACGATATTCGCACGCTGAATACGCATACAGAAATCAATGACGCATAACGTTTCAATGATAGTCACAAAAACCACAAAAACCTTCAGAAATTCCACAAATTCAACCACAGAAAGACTTCAAACTTGTCAAAACCAATGCAAGTTTGCAAGAAAACAGCCCCCTATCCAACGGAAGCCGGGCTCCATCCAGCTCGAGAGCAGGATACATTGAAGTACGCGCAATGGTGACGGACCTGGCCACGACCTGCTTGTGGAAATGCCTGAGTCCCAATGCTGCCGCTGAAGTGGACATTCCAAACCTGATCTCTACCAAAGCAAAGAATGTATAAGTGTTCACAGCACACAGCCTAAATGCCCGCCTTACCGGGCAATACAGCGCTATAAAAACGAACGCAGTGTTACCATGCGTCACCATCACCATATTTCTTCGAAGTTCCATTAAAATCTGTAGAACACGCTGCAGCCTAACGCAGCGTTTGCTATCACTTCTCATGTAACATTTCACAAGTACGCATATATACTGCACGATTTTACTTCGCTCCATGAAATTTGCCGACTATGGCCGCACACTTCGCATGCTAATTTCACCGCGCTGTCTGGACACACGACTACGGACATATTTCAGCCATCAGCGTCTACAATCACCACATTGTCCGTGACATTGCCTCGGAAGAACGCCACGAAAGCCGTTATTAACGGCTTTGGTGCGCTCCACGGTCCCCGAACTCCGGCCACCTAGCGGCTACCTGCCGTACTCCTCGCACTGGCCAGGGACCACGCCGCAGCTGCCGCCGTTCTCCCACCATTTGTGCAGACCGTGCATGTCGAAGTCTGCCCCGCGGAACTTGTGCAGCTGCCCCCACGGCAGTAGCTCAGCCCGCGGGACGACCAGCTCGAACTGGTCCATCTGAGAGGGCGCCACCGGCACCTGCTGCCGGTGCTCCTCCAGCGCCGCCAGCATCAGGGGAACCACCTCCCGGTAGGTGGCGTGCTGTGGAGGAGGCGACGCACGGTGCTATGATATTCGGGGACAACTTTTTAGGAAGGGTAGGCACTTGACGTCGGTGCAATTTGCATGGCATAGGGAGCCTGTAACACAATGAACACACAGCTGGAAGGCCTCCTAGTCGTCACTTAAAGGGAGTGTTCCACATCTGCAGACATTGAAGCAAACATCAGAGATGACGAAATAGGCTCACTTCTAACTATTGGCACACTTTCAAGAGGAAAGCATCGCTATACACAACACTACTCTCTATCTAGCAAATATGTATCTCAGTATGTCATTGCTTGATTGCGTCATCATACATTTCACAACACTGATTGAGAGCCAATTGACGATGACAGTTGCATCAAGAAATCGTGCTAACAAACGTCAGATATGAACGAATCGACAATTCTTTCGTCCTGTCCTTGATCGCCGCACAGTCCATGGAATGACAGGACTTGAAGGACGCCTTTATGGCATCCTGGATGCCTTGGTGAGCTTGAAATAGTCTGCACGAAGAAGTCTGCATAGGTTCGTGGACGTGTAGCGCAAAACCTGGAGAGACCTAGGTCTCAAAAAAGCTGAGCTGTGAACAGCACCAAATCACCACCAAAATGGTTTTTCCAATTAAAAACCCCACACAAATGTCCAACACCACCATCACAGTCAATTACATCCATAGCACATTAATTACTTAAATTACACCTCCTTGGTTTCATAGAGGTCCCTTGACACCAGCTAGCAAGAAAAACTTGAAACTGGTCTTATAATTATTGCAATTCCGTACCAAACTCTCAACCACAAGAAAGCCAGCCGCCTTCAGCACGGCGCGAGCCTCCGACCCGCCTCACCTCTGACGGGATCTCGCGACGCTCCGCCGGGTCAGCCTGCACGTCGAACAGCCGCGGCGGGTCCAGCCTGCGCACGTCGTCGCCGTGGCACGCGCAGAGGCCGTCCGCCCGGCCGCAGTGCTCCACCGCCGGATCCGGGTAGTTGGCCACGGCCAGGTGGAGCTTGTAGACGGCGCCACCGTCGGCCGGGGTGAACCGCACCGCGTGCACGTCACTGCCGCAGTAATGCGCCAGAAACCGGTGCGGCGACGCACTGCTGAGGCCGCGCAGCAGCGGCAGCAGGCTGCGCCCGTCCAGCGGCCGCGGCGGCAGACTCGTCCCCGCCGCCTCCAGCAGCGTGGGCAGCAGGTCCAGCGCGCTGGTCGGCACCTCGACGCGACTGCCGGCGGCGATGCGGCCCGGCCAGCGGAAGAGCGCAGGCACGCGCAAGCCGCCCTCGGCGCCCCCCTGCGCCTTGCCGCCGCGGAACACGCCGTTGTGGCCGCCCTCACGCTGTCCGTCCGGCCCGACCAGCTCCAGCTGGCCGCCGTGGTCGGACAGGAAGTGGACGAGGGTGTTGTCGGCGACGCCGGCCGCGTCTAGCGCGGCCAGCAGCCGCCCCACCGCCCAGTCCATCTCCAGCACGTTGTCGGCGTAGCGCGAGTGGCCCGACACGCCGCGGAACTCGGGCGCCGTAAACAGCGGCGTGTGCGGGTGCAGGAACGAGTGCACGAGCAGGAACGGCTCGCCGTCGCGCGCCGCCGACGCCACGAACCGCTCCGACTCGGCCACCAGCCGCTGAGTGAGGCCGGCCAGCTGGTACGGCCAGTCCACCACCGTTGAGTCGCGCACCAGCTGGTAGTTGAGGAACTTCTCGACCGCCATCGTGTGGCCCCACCAGTTCGCACGCGGCGTCGAGCCGCCACGGAAGTCGGTCTGGTTGATAGTGTCGAGCCACAGCCGCCAGGCCAGCTCGGCCGCCGCGCGGTGGCAGTCGCCGGGCCGCAGCGGCGGCTGCGGGTCGGCCAGCATCAGCTCCGGCAGCACGTGGCGCAGGAGCGGTTCGTCTCTCCTCTGCGATACAGGACCGTCCTCTCCCTCCTCCATCAGCGAGAACGGCAGGCCGAAGAATGAGTCGAAGCCGTGACCGCGCGGGCCGTGACACTGGTCTTCCCAACGCTCGCACGACCAGCCCTGGTGCCACTTGCCCACGAACTGCGTGCGGTAGCCGGCGTCCCGCAGAGCGCGAGCAAAAGTCATCTCGTCCGCTGGCAGGCCGGCACGGCCCGGCACGTTTCTGACCACCACCGGCCCATGGCGCGCCTCCTGCATGCCCGAACGGACTGGGTAGCGGCCCGTGAGCAGCGCAGTGCGGCTCGGCGTGCAGACGGTGGCGCCCGCTAGGTGGTGCGTCAGCAACGCCCCCTGCGACGCCAGCCGGTCCAGGTGCGTCGTCCGGAAGGAGTCGTTGCCATAGCAACTGATGTCGCCAATGCCCAGGTCGTCGGCGATCAGGACCACTATGTTGGGCCGCAGTTCTGGCTCAGTGGCAGTGGTACTGACCACCAGGAGTGTGCACAGCAGCACTGTCAACACCATCTGGCAAAGTTGACATAGATGAGAGTTGTTGGAGGAGGATTATCTTTCTAACTTCAGAAATTGTCAGTATGCTGCTAACATAGAATATACTACAGTAAGTAATGACTTAAAGTACCTTCATGTCTTTGTTTTCCCAACCAACATGTCAGGTCATGCTTACACTAGCAGAATTAAATGCAGCTAAGAATTTATTCCATTTTGGTATGTATATAGGTTCAATTTCATTTGCCACTTGGCTAAATGAGAGTTAGAATGTACTCCCATATTATACAACAGCATCATCACCACCTCAATTCTACTCATAAACATCCATTTAAAAAATCAACCAATCACAACCTCCAGGGTGTCTAAATGGTTCACTTGCCACGGCGCATGGCATGCTACCAAACTGCTGCTAGCAGTAAATGTGACATGGGAACTTGTAATCTTTCTCCCACGTGACAGAGCTACAGCACAGATCAGGGTGGTGGATGGGAGGCCATAGTTGCAAATATCAGGCAAATTTCATATTGGAAAGGCAGAAAAACTTCTACATTACCCTGGATTTTATGATGTGTTTTAGGAGTTTCCAAGTTGGTCCTGCGCAAACCTTTTAATTGTCACTTTTGCACATACCTTCATGAAATGTTATGCTGAGGCAACACACCATTATATATACATATATATATATATATATATATATATATATATATATATATATATATATATATATATACCCTGCATAAAACACAGTATACAGATAGTTATACCAATATGTGGTGCATCCAAGTATCATAGTTGCAGATAAGCTTACTACCTACTTGGCTCTCAACAGAACATTCACTCAATTTGTCATTTCCAAATGTGCTGAACACACTGACAATTCCAAAATTAAAGGCCACTTCTGACGGTATTTACGATAAGCTCTCTTGACCTAGGTTCAGGTGCAGGATAAATTCGTGACAAACTGCACCCAGTACAACCGGATTCCAGTCTTACAGAATGCATGGTGGTAAAATACGAACTACATTAAAAAATACATCGCGTTAGTGAGCGAATAAAAATATATATGCAATAAGCGTAAGCCAAAAAACACGATAAATGTAAAACACATGACTTAAACACATAAAAAGTCTTCGAGTTATACGTCATACAATATCAGATACTTGTCAATGCCAATTACTTACCTTACCTTACCTTATGGCGGTCGGGAATTGTAAAATGCCACTGGGCCTGTGGGTCCCGGTCTCGCCAGGCTCCCGGTCCGGTAGCTCCCGGTCCGGTAACCAGACAGTCAAATTATGGGAAGATTCAGTGTGGGACGTCGTACATGACGTCAGCCCGGTGCGTATCAAGCCTAGACTTGAACTGTTCAAGTGAGGTCGACGACACGACCGGGTGTGGAAGGGCACTGCAGTCGTTGGCAACCCGCGTGCTGAATGAGTTACGACGGACGAGAGTCCTAGCTCGAGGTTTTCTGAGCTTTCATTGGTGTCCTCTCGACACCTCCGAGTCGTGCCTTGTCAGGAGCTCCTCTTCCGACAGCGACATACCTCCGTGCAGCAGCTGGTACACTGTTACCATGTCTCCCCTACGACGACGATAGTACAGCGAGAGCAACTGAAGGAGTCTGAGCCTCTCAGGGTATGGCTGGCGCCTCACTTCATAGACAAGCCGGGTAGCTCGTCGCTGAACCCGTTCCAGTCGCTTCTGGTCCAGTTTGCCGAATGGGCCCCAGATAACGTTTCCATACTCTAAGTACGGACGCACTAAGATCTAAAAAGGCAATGGCAACGTGCGAGCATCGATACTGGCAAAAGACCGCCTCACGACCGCCAGCATCTGGTTTTGGAGATCGCTTCCGCCGTCTGCACGTGGAAATGGAGCCGGTAATCCACGAAGATCCCGAGGTCCTTCTCGGTGGACTCGGCCGCGATTTCGGCGCCGTCCAAGAAGTACGTCAGCCTCGGGTTGTAGTTCCCGATGTGCATTATTTTGCACTTTGCTGCACTAAAAGGGAGCGGCCACTCCTTTGACCACTTGGCCAGGGCGTCGAGGTCAGCCTGCAGAGGTGAGTCAGTCAGGGGCCTCGGGACACGACAGTAGACCTTGGTGTCATCCGCAAACATCTTGACCACGCTTCGCACTTGTTCTGGTAGATCGTTCACGAAAATAATGAACAGCGTTGGTCCAAGTACTGACCCTTGCAGGATGCTGCTGGCGACGTCGGTCCAGTCCGACTTCGAGCCCTGGACCCGCACTCCCTGTATCCGGTGAGTAAGAAAAGCCCTGATCTAGGATTGGAACGTTGCGGTAGAGGATGGAGAGCCGGTGGACGTGGCGTACCTGGGCTTCAGCAAAGCCTTTGATTCTGTTCCCCCATAACCATCTGCTCTCCAAGCTTCATGCTTATGGTGTGAGAGGTAATTTTCTACGCTACGCATCCGGTGAGTAAGAAAAACCCTGATCTGGCGTAGAAAATTACCTCACACCGTAAGCATGACGCTTGGAGAGCAGACGGTTATGGGGAACAGCATCAAAGGCTTAGAGAGAAACCCATGCTGGGCTGCATGAAGAAGTCCAGACTCCGAGAAGTGATTAAGTAGGGCATCACGGACGAAAGTTTCGAGTATCTTGGAGAGAATGACAGTAAGGCGCACTGGGCGGTAGGTCGCTGGATATTGTCGGTTACCCTTCTTGTAGATCGGGACTACCTCGCCAAGCTTCCACTCCAGAGGGAGCCTTCCGGTTGCCAAAGATTTTCGGAAAAGCATGCTGAGGGGTGCCGCCAGGGCATCTGCGGACTCGCGAAGAAGCCTTGGATGGACATCGTCTGGGCCAGGGGCGCTCGAGGTCTTCAGAGTGGCCAATTTCTTTGCCACTGCCTGGGTAGAGATGGCCACATCATCCAGTAACGGTCCAGTAAAGTTAAACGGTAACACATGCATGACGCTAGTCCCTTCGTCCGTGAAAACACTAGCGAATAATTTACAGAGGACATTGGCCTTCCCTTCGTTACTGCTGGTCAACACTCCATCATCGTCAAGAAGGTCTTCTACCCTGCATCTCGTGCGTAGTCTAGAGTTGGCGTTCCTTCAAAAGGCCTTGGGGTCTTGAAGTATAGAGGCTAGAAATGTCCACTAGCCAGTCTCAGCTCTTGTCTCCCTTTGCCGTAGTAAACACCGTTCGATGTTCAAATGTTCGTATTCACTGTCTTTGCACACACAATTACGCCTCTTCACACAATCGCTGTCTCTCCACCCACTGCCTCTCCCGTCTCGGCTCGCCAACACAAGAATGGAAATGTCCCCACCGCTCGATAGTTCGCAGCGCACCGCCCCGCCCCAGCTCTCTCTCGCCACCGTCCCCGGGCGTGGCATGGCGCCGCCGCGCCGGGCGTCCCCCCGCCCGTCGCCTCCCCGGCGTCAGGTTTCAGCGGGGACGGGCTGGCGCCGGCTCCGCGACGGCCGCTGACCCCGTTCTGGGCCGCACCACATGTACTGTGCTATACATACATAACACGCCTCGGTTCATCACATCACAGGTCTCTTTTGAGGTCTGCTACTAATTTAATCTCGTACTCTTTCCGAAGGTTTCTGGTCAACTTCCGAAGGTTATTGCGACAACGCACAACCCTGGCATGGTCCAGAACATCCTGAGTCCGCGTGCACGTTCGCCATAGTCTTTCCTTAGTCTTCTTTAGCTGCATGGCCCCTGGGTTCATGTATAAGTTCTTCTAAGGTTTGGTCGTTCTCCTGACGGAGCAAACCTCACTGGCCCTAACGATTCTTTCCTTGAAGAAATTGTAAGCATCTTCGAGGCTGAGGCTCTTCATCAGGGACCAGTCCACTGACCTGGGGGTGTCAGCCAGGTACTCATAATTTGTGTGTGTCAGCTGGCTGGGACGAGGAGTTTGTAGCCCAGAGTAGCAGACCACAGTGTACCTGACTACCACATGGTCACTGTTACCTAGCCCAGGCAGGTATTTGATTTGGCTCCCCATGCCCTCCTCAGTTGTGAAAATGAGGTAAAAAACACTAGGAACTTCACCAACCCGGTAGTGTGTTGGCTGCTGGACATGCTGGAACAAGAAACAGCCCTGAATGGTGTCTATCAGTGAGTGGGTTGGGTGACTCTCTGGAGCTGACGACTGCTCTGTTGCCCAGTCAACCTGAGGCAAGTTAAAGTCACCTAAAACCATGAAGTCAGAAAACTGGTCTCTGCACGCTCTCTGACGGTCTTCCAGTTGACCCACACTGTCTTGGATGTTGCCTGATGAACTTCTGTATATACAGCCAGGTAACAGGGCACCCTTCTCACTCAAGGCCATCTTCAGCCAAACTTGCTCCAGAGGACATGACCCAAATGAGTGTTCAGCTGCATTTAGTAAGTTGGACACAGACACATATGCCTCTTGTGTACAGGGTGTACCCGGGAATTGATAGGAGAGATGGCGCAATAGGAAACTTCTGGGCTTTGGGAAGGGCCTCAATCAACAGCATGATATCTGGCTTATGGTCAGAAATAAGCATACATAAATCACACCTTGTACTAAGGAACTGGTCTGCGTTGGTGTACAATATCTCCAGATCTTGCCTACCCCTGCGCTGACGAGCATTATGCAGTCATTGTGGACTGGAGGAACCAGCATCAGCCTGAGCTCGAGTGTGCGGATCCATGGATCCATCCCCAGTGACTGAGGTCGCTGTGTTGCTGTCACTCCTGTCAGACCCCGTAGAACCCCTGGGACCCTGAGTGAGGTGACCCACAATACCCCCACCAGCAGGGTCCATTAAAGTGGGGGGGGGGGGGCGGGGCATCCTGCTTGAGTGCCCCCGGCCATACTTGCCATACTTATATTATCAAACTCTCAAAGTAAGCCGCTTAAATTCTACTAAATACCAGGATGAATTACTTCGCTAAGAATTCGAAAGAAATTTGTCGTACATGAGTCAAATATCTGATTCTTAAACAAAGACTAAAATATTAATAATTTTTCTCGTTCCAGATTTTATTTTACGTTTATGGCGCTCTTGATATGAAACAAACCTTATCGCTACACATCTTCCCGTTCGATCCTTCTCGACCCATCTAATGTGGGCGGCGTAGGCGCGTGGTGGACAGACTTTTGTTCCCCCACGATTTGGAGTGCGGGGTGTGGTTCTGCTTTCTCGTCCCTCGTCAGGTGCGTACCTTGTATTTTTTCTTGGTAGGGAGCAACGTGTGTATATAATGTTTTCATCGCCCAGCCTGCAGGTCGCCGAAACTTCTGGCAAGCCGGTAGGAAGGCGGACTACAAAACGTACACGTTATGCCGGGCATATCCAGCGTGGCAACGACGTTGTGGGAACAATATTATGGCATGTATGCTGCAAATCCAAGTGCTCAGAGTTTGGTACACCTTCACTACCGATCTCAGAAATAGCCACTTTTTGCAAGGAATGTTGTTATGAAAGGAATTTCAGGAAAACATCCACCAAAAACATCTTCCCCAAAAATGAAAAATTTGTTTGTTTGCATGACCTGAGTTTAATGCTTAGAGCACAGGGTTAACTTACCCATGTATTGTAGGTTTCAGGCACAGTGAGTGCTTTCTCTGGGCTGGGTTAAGGTTACCTTAATTGTACACTGTTTTCTTTTTCTGTAGCACAGCATATGTGCACACATTATGTCACATAGCTAATTTTCAGAGGCAAAGTCAATCTCAATTTTTAGACATTCTGGTTCACAGAACCAGCCAAGGGCAGTGTTGGCATTGCAGCAGATATCTGGAATGGTTTATGCTAGTCAAACTAGGCAGGTAATCTAAATCACATGTTAAACAATGTTGTGGGTTCAGTCTGATGCCTATGGGATGAAACTGGCAATAAGGTGATTCTGCTAAAATTTTAAAGGATGCTGTGATCAGAAAAAACTGTGTGGAAAACATTTATATCTGCACCAGTCAGGGAAGGAAAATGCTACTTATCATGAGCCATGTTTGTCCTGTCATTTGATCTTACTTCTTTGTGTGGCTAGCACTCTGCACTATGGATATTTGACAGCACCCAGGGATATATAACTAAGCAGAAACATCTGATTGGGGAATTGGCAACAGCCAGAATGCAAATGTAAGCTCTAAGCAAATAGTATCTGCTGGGAATAATCCATTTGAATGATGCTTAATGACACACATTGGGATGAGGAGCTTTTTAAATTTGACACAGCATGTGATACAAGTGAAAAATTCAGCTTATAGATGGATGACTCAAATTTCATTAGCACAG